GAGTCGGGGTCCCCACAGGGAGGGCTTGGGGCCCAGCCGCGGGAGAGGGCGTCGCCGCCCCAGTCCAGCTGTCTCTCTTGCAGAGATTAAGAAGGGACGGTTCTGTCTTCTACTAGGGGTAGTATCCCTGCCCTGCACCGCCAGCGAGGGAGGCCCCCTCCCCCACCACCCTGCGGCAAACCGTGTGCTGGTTGAGGAGAGCCAGATCCTGGGGCGCCTGGTATCAGAGAACCTGAGATCCTTAGTGTCACCCCCACCCCTTCCCAGCGTTCTGCACCCCGCCCAAGTTCAGGGAAAAAATCAGCGGAGGCCCCTTCCCACCAGTCCTGCTGCAGGGGTGCCCGGCAGGTTACAAAGGGGCTTTGCTGCCCTCTTCCCGCCAGGGCTCCTGCATGTGGGGAGGTCTGTGCCGCCTACAGAGATCCCCCTGTGCCCGCCCACTCGCGTGGTCGCGTGGTAGTAGCCCTAGCATCCTCTCTCAATGACCCCGTTTTCCTAGTCCTGTATGTGCCCTCATTAGAAACCTGGTGGGCTCCAGCTCCAGCTTTGGTAGAGGTGGGCTACATGGGTGGTCAGCCCTCCCTGCAGGGCCTCTGGATGGAGCCAGGTAGGTTAGGGGACGTGGCAGGTATGCTCCAGGGACACTGGGAGGGAAAGGGCAAGCTCAGGAGTCTGCCACCGCTGGGGCAAGGAGAGGGCCCACCACCCTCGATGGCAGCAGCCGACCGCAGGCACAGGCTCCGTCCGGCTGGTTGTGGCAGTCCCCCTGCAGTCTCCTCCCATTCACTCACTGAGTGTGCATGGACACCTGCCAGTGCCAGGCCCCGTGCTGGCCCCCGGGGACGTGGTGGAGGACGTGGAGCGGGAAGCCAGATGATAACCTGCTATCACAAGGACACGAATATAGTACACCGAAAAGCCCAAGTGAATAGACGTTTCCAACACCAACTGCACATTCCAGGGACAGGGAGCACACGTGGCTAAGGCGGTGTGTACCCAGGGCAGTGGGACACAGAGGAAGGCCCCGTGAACCGTGTTGGTTGGGGTACATCAGGGCAGTGGGGAGACATCAGGGATGTCAGAGCGGAGTTTTGAAGAACAGAGCCGAGTTTGCTGGGGAGAAGGGAGGGGCTGGGGGTAGGGGAAGGCTATTGTAGGAACAGCGTGGGAGAATAATGGTGTGTTTTGACATCTCTGCAGTTTGGTGTGATGGGAGGCGCACAGGGGCCAGGTCAAGCAGGGCCTTGCTGGCCAGGAGCGATTTGGCAGGAGTTCAGGGACAGCATTCTAATCTGGGACAAGTCCACTGATATTTCTAACTGGAGAAGGTGGTGCAATAATCCAGGTGAGAAACGCCTGGACCAGATGAAAGTGAGGAGGAAGAACTGTCAGAATTTGGGGGCCCATGGGACCAGGGGGGTAGGACAGTGAGGAGGCCAGGAAGCTCCAGGCATCTGGCATCTTGCTGGAGTGACTGAGTGGGGGCAGGGCCTTTACTGAGGACACACGGGGAGACTGTGAGGAGGCTGCAGTTGGTCACAGGGTTGGCTGGCAGATGGATCTGGGCTGGAGACAGATTTGAGTCACTAAAGGATGGTTCTTGAAGCTCCAGCAGGGAACGAGGTCATCTGGGGAGACATGCATAGTGGCTGTGCAGGAGACAGAATACACAGCCAGAAAGTGAGGAGGAAAATGTGGAGGGACATGTTTCCAGAGTCGAGGAAAGGCGCCCAGAAAGAGCAGCCACACTCGACCCTGCTGCCTTGTCCCTGCAGCGAGGCTGCCTCAGCTTCAGGCACCTGCCCTGCCGTGACTCATTCTTCTGCTTCCCCTTTACAGACTAGATGTTCGCCATCCAGCCGGGACTGGCCGAGGGGGACCAGTGCCTGGGGGGCCCTCACTCTGGAGTATGTCAGCCCGAGCTCCAACCAGACAGCAACTCCAACTTCATGGCAAGTGCCATGGATGCCAATGAGAACTGGCATGGGATGCCGGGCAGAGTGGAACCCCTCCTGACCAGGAGCTCCTCCGAGTCTTCCTCTGACAACAAGGCCTTCCAGGACTCTGGAACTCCTGAGGATGGTGTTCGCAGCCCCCCAGAAGGGGCAGAGATTCCTGGGGCTGAGCCTGAGAAGATGGGTGGTGCTGCCGTCTGCTCCCCTCTGGAGGACAACGGCTATGCCAGCAGCTCCCTGAGCATCGACAGCTCTAGCAGCAGTCCTGAGCCTGCCTGTGGAACTCCTCTAGGCCCTGGCCCTCCAGATCCCCTCCTGCCCTCGGTGGTCCAGGCTGTGCAACAGCTGCAGGCTCAGGAGCGCTACAAAGAGCGGGAGAAGGAGAAGCACCACGTGCACCTGGTGATGTACCGTCGCCTGGCACTGCTCCAGTGGATCCGGGGCCTGCAGCACCAGTTGGTTGACCAGCAGTCCCGTCTACAGGAGAGCTTCGACACTATTCTAGACAACCGAAAGGAGCTTATCCGCTGTTTCCAGCAGAGGGCAGCACCATCCAGGCCCCAGGACCAGGGCTGAGGGTGTGCCTCCCCAAGTGTGAAAGTACATATGTATATTTGCAGGTGTGTGAGTGATTGTGCACAAGTAAGTCCGTGACTATCTGCTGGCGTGAGTGCAGATAAGACTGTGTTAGCACATACACAGGTGTGTGCAGGCATGTGTGAATGAGCTTAAGTATGCTATGTATGTACATGTGTACACACAAGCCAGTTCATATTCAGACCTATGTGTGAGTGTGTAAGAGTGAGCATGTGTGTGGCAGGTATGTAAGAGTGAATAAATTTGTATGTGCATATGTAGAAAGGCACCAGCGGTGTTTGTGTGTGTGTATGTGTACAAGTATGAGTACATGCATGAGGATGTGCAGAAGATGCGAGTACATATGAGTGAGTTTGTATAGGCTTGTGTTGGTGTATGTGGGTAAGCCCTTGTATGCAGACCTGTGTGGAGGGGTGCCTGTGTGCAGGTGCAGGCATGGGAAATGCTTGTTCAGGGCATGTGTGCTTGCAGGCAGACTCACAAGCAGTCATGTGCAAATATATATTCACTTGCAACTGTGGGTCCTTCCTGTGTTACCTGTGGCCAATTCCAGCCCTTTTCTTCTCTACTGGGTCCCATTGGTCCCTGGAGAGAGGGTTAGCTTACTGTCATTTTTCTGAGTTGTGGCTGACCTATTCCCCTGGGATCGCCTAGGCCACCTCCCTGCCCTTTGCTCTACCCGAACCTTGCTCTGCTAAGGCTGCTGTCCCTGCTCCTGGCTTCGCTGTAAGAAGTTAGTGGCTTCCCTGGCCTGCTGTGGTATTTTGGCAGCAATTCGGTCAAGGCTTGTTGGTGGAGAATTGTCCGGGAGGGGACCTAGGGTGAAGATGAGATCGTGGTGGTGGAGGGTGGGGTGGAGGCGGGAAGGAGACTGGGGACTGCCCCTCTTGAACCTTGCCTTTGTGTACTGGGAGAGGAGGATGGGAGAGAGGATGGCAGAGCCCCATGTAGAACAGGAGAACAGGAATTCTGAACTAGTTCCCAAACTAATCTTACCTGTGCACAAAGAAGGGAGCTGTGGGCTGGCCCTGGCCTGGGGTGAAGGCAGCCGATATCACAGGGATGAGAATGTGGTTTGAGTCCCAGCCCCAGCAGCTTGAAAAACACACCAGGTGTGTGTGCATGTGTGCCCCAAATCCCGGTAGGGTGGAGGAGAAGGGATGGCAGTGTGACCATGCCCCATTGGGGGTGCATTCTCCATATCTCTTCACTCTCCCTGTCTCTTCGATTCCCTCTCTCTGGTCAGTGGCAAATTCTGAAAAAGAAGGAAGATGTTGAAAACTACAGCCATGGAGGCTTCTGATGGAAAGGAGCACGTGCTTCTGTGCTCGCAAGCGGCAGACACGGTGTTCCGGGCTGCTGGGGAAGTCCCTCCCCTCTGGGCCTCCGCCGTGCAGTGCCTCTGGCTGTAGCAGCCTTAGATGTCAGGCTAAGTTTGGTCTGTTTCTCTGAAATCAGGCCGTCTGGAAGGACCAGAGCGTGGCTTTGGACAGGGTGGTGGCAGCCTAGCCTCTGCAAGCTCTCAGGTGCTGGGTCACACTGTTTCCGGTCCCCGCAGGGCCCTATATACAGATTGGCGGTGTCCAGCAGGGCTCCACGAGGTGGAAAGCAGGTGGTCCTTGGGGAGCAGCAGCGGCCGAGGTAGCCCAGCTGTGCTCTGCTCAGTGCCACAGGAAGGCAAGGTCCAGGTGGGTGAGTGGTGGGTGAGCGGGACCCCTGGCAGGCCCCAGTGCCTGGTACTCACTGCTGCTCCTCTGGCCTCTGGTCTCTCTAGCTGTCAGAAGTCTCCAGGGCTCGGTACAGCAGTTGGTGTAATGGCTATGTTGCTGGACTCCCATGTAGTTGACCCGGGTTTGAGTCCTAGACCCAGTGGCTTAAACTAACACTGGGCGCATGTGCGTGCGTGCCCGAGATCCCAAGAGGAGAATGGAGGAGAAGGGATTGCGGCGTGGCCATCCCCCCTGGGTGATTTCTCGCTTTCTGTCTGTCTGTCTCTGTCTTTCTGGCGAGTACACGCGCCCTATAGCAAAAATCTCTCCAAAAAAAAAAAAAGGTCTCCAGGGCTCTCCTTGTCTGTCTGTCTGTCAAAAGCTCCAGCCCTGCCAGGTGGGTGGGTGAGTGTGGAGAGGTGTGGGGCTGGAGTGTGGGCCAGGAACTTCATGCTCTTGCATGCCGTGTGTGAACCTGGCCTCCGGACCCATTTGGGATGAATAAATGAACAGAATTAACTTCCGAGTCTGTTCTAGTCTCCCTCTCGCCGGTGGCCTCTTTTCCTTACCATCTGCACTCTCCTTTCGAGCAGAGTCCTGGGCTGGAAGCTGGGGCTCTTCTAGAGGGTGGTGACAGGAAGGCGCTCGGACCCTCTGCCGGCAATCTAGTGGGGGGAGGGGGTCCCTCAGGGGCCTCCCAGTCTGACAAGGGAGGACTCTGCCTCTGAACTGAGTCCCATTTGAGATTGTCCAGGTCATCTTCAGGCTTGATGGCTTGTGAGGGACACACACCCAGCACATCTCTCAACGCAGACAGACAGACAGACACACGCACATGAACACGAGTCACGTACCCTGGAGTCACCACTACCCTGAGAGGTATCCTGACTGGGAGAGACCGAGTAAAGGGCCTTGGAGGGTTCTGACACATGAAATTAGAATATTTGTTTTTGACTTTAGGTACCTATTAATGCCAAGTTAGATCGTGTCTCTATTTTACATTGGTTTGCATCATAATTTATTCCTCACAAACTAATTTCTGGCTGGCCCCCCAGTGCAGTGGTTAGGTGTGCAGCAGGAGCTGGATCTTATATGGCAGACCCCGATTTGAGTCCCAGCCCTGGGGTGGCTTCAAAAACACACTGGGTGCTTGTGCCCCCAATCCTGGTGGGATGGGGAATGGAGGAGACAGGGTTGTGGTGGGACCCTCTCTCTCTCTCTGTCTCTCTCTCTCTCATGTATTCTCCCTCTGGTAGTAAAGCCCCACACACTTCGTGCCTCACCTGTTCTGCAGTTCAGGAGTTGGAGCACAGCCTAGCTGGGTTCTCTGTGCCCGTCTCTCCATCGAGGAGGCAGTGCCGGGTCTGAGGTCTCTTGGCAGCACTCAGTGTCTCAGGCTTTGGCTGGAGACACTTCAGTTCCCTCCCCGGCCATTTGCCGCATGAAAGCATGCAGACAAGGAAGCGAGCGTGCCGGCAGGATAAAAGGCAGTTTTCTTTTATACAAAGAGACACTATTAATTTTTGTCACCCCAGAGGTGACGTCCCCTCAGTGTTGTCCAGTTTCTAACAAGTTACGGGAGAGCCTTATGTGACCTTGTGAATCCCAGGCCAAGATCACCGAGGACCATCTTATAGGCCGTGTGTCTCAGGAGGTTTTTTTTTTTTTTTTTTTTGAGAGGTTTTTGCTATAGGACGCATGTGCTCGCCAGACAGACAGAGAGAGACAGAAAGCGAGACATCACCCCCCAGGGGGGATGGCCACGCCACAATCCCTTCTCCTCCATTCTCCTCTCGGGATCTTGGGCACGCACGCACACGCGCCCAGTGTGAGTTTTAAGCCACTGGGTCCAGGACACGAACTGCGGTCGACTACATGGGAATCCAGTGACATAGCCATTACGCTAACTGCTGGTCCCTCAGGAGGTGTATTTTGATTGGTTATACAAAAAGACACTATTAATTTTTGTACAACAAATCATATTACACTTATAAAGATTGAAACATTTCAGAGAAATCTAATGTCCCCTTTCATTCCCTCCAGCAAAGCATGTTTATTTTAAAGGTCACAGTAGATACTCCCTGAGGCTGTCAGTGACCCAGGACATTAATGATTCTTGCTGGGGTAGGAGGAAGGGGGTGGGAGGGAAGAAACATTTAATAGACACAGGAACGACAACGTATCTGTTGATGATAATGTGTACGGTAATATCTTTGACTTGGTTGATATACACTGCATTCATGCTGGGGAAACACCATTTCCTGTGCCGGTAAATACGCAGAGTGATGGGGCCAGCAGGTGGCATGTTGGTTAAGGCACTGGCCTCCCACATGGCCAGCCACGGTTTGAGTCTGGGACCTGGCAACTTGCTTTCTGACTTTCTCCCTCTCTCTCTCCCTCCTCTCTGGTCAAATTTAAATAAATAAATAAGTAAAATTCAATTAAACAATTCTTTAAAGAAGAAGATGTAAAATAATTAAATGTAAAGTTAAAAAATAAAACATTTTCAAAAAAATTCTTGTCATTGGCGCATCCCTGGTAGCATACACTGTTTGTCCACAGACTGAGGATGCATGGAAGGCTCAGGTTCAATTCCCAGCACACCCTGAAAAACTGGATATTGGAACCAGCAGGTGGCATAATGGCTATGTTGCTGGACTCCCATGTAGTTGACCACAGTTCAAGTCCCAGACCCAGTGGATTAAACTCACACTGGGTGTGTGGGCAGGTGCATCCAAGATCCCAAGAGGAGAATGGAAGAGAAGGGATTGTGGCGTGGCCATCCCCTCTGGGGGTGATTTCTCACTTTCTCTCTGTCTGGCGAGTGCACGTGCCTTATAGCAAAAACCTCTCTAAAAAAAAAAGAACAACCAGCTAGGTATGGTATGGTGCCTATGGTCCCGCTACTTGAGTCACTGAGGCAGCAGGTTGACAACATGGTGAGACCTGTCTAAACACACAAAACAAAAAGAATGATTGTCATCTCCACTTTTGACACTTGAACACAAGTGGTATTGGACCAGTTTGAAAAACTTCACTTATTGATATTCTGGTAAAGGGTTGTAACAAAATTTGAACAATGTATCAATAGAATTTTTCTTTTTCCTTCCTTTTTTAAAAATTACCCACCTATTATTATTATTATTATTATTCCATTTTACCAGAAAGAGAATGAAAAATCAAGCTGCCAGGTTGGGGACTTGAACTGCTGTGAACCATGTGGGAATCTAGCACCTTAACCACCACCTGCTGACACCCATGGAGATTTCTAACAGTGAGATGACCTTAAGCCTCAGAGCACAAGAGGGTGAGCTCTCAAAAGGAGCCCCTTTTCTCAGCACAGCCACTGGTTCAGGGTGCAGACTCTGAAGTCAGACTTCCTGGGTTGGATCTGGGTCCCGGTGTTTTCTGTGACCACGGACAAGTCTACTTGTCAGTGCCTCAATTTCCTCACCTTAAAATGGAGAGACAGTTGCAATAATGACCTCATAGTGTGTGGCAAGGATTAAATGAATACACGATATGTAAAATACTCAGGACGTCTGACACTTTAATGAGGGTGGTGGTCCCCACAAATGGCGCTTTTGTGATGCATGCTTAGCTGTTTCATAGGGAACACTTTTTCTAAATTTAAAATTTAGAAGGCATTTTTTTTTTTTTTGGAGAGATTTTCACTGTAGGGTGCATGCACTAGCCAGACAGACAGAGAGAGACATAGAGACAGAAAGCGAGAAATCACCCCCCAGGGGGGATGGTCACACCGCAATCCCTTCTCCTCCATTCTCCTCTCGGGATCTTGGGCACGC